CGCCGTATGGAAAAACCGTCCAGTAGTCATTTTGCCGGTTTTTGTCCAAAGTTCTGTCAACGGATCGTACAGTTCTGCAATAGTCAAATAACCACTAGAGCTGATTCCACCAGTAACTAAGACTTTTCCATTGTTTAGTAATACTGCTTTGTGAGCGTATCGACCATAACTCATGCTACCAGTCTGTGTCCAAACTCCTGTAAACCGATCGTACAGTTCTGTAGTGTTTAAATAGCTACCATAGTCACTATAGCCACGTCCACCAACAATTAAGACTTTTCCATTGCATAGTATCGATGCTGTGTGCATGGTTCTTGCTTCACTCATATTGTTGAATTTCGACCATCCTAAGACAAATTAATTGAATGCGGCAATATGAAGGTTAACATATTGAAGTTGTGAATCAGGTTTGTAGGAAATAGCTCTCTCTTTAAAATAATATTTTGCTTCCGTAAGATTTTTCCCTCATATGCCATTGAATAAAAAAGTGACGACATAAGGCAAGAGTGAGTTACTCCATCGAAAATCTTCGATTCTAATATCATCTCGCTAATTTAGTTGAATATTGTTTTTCCGTTAGGATAAAGGTGTCAAATTCAGATATATAAAATTAACTTTTCCTGAGTTATGTTATCAAAACATCTTCAGCAAAGTCCTAAAATAACGTTCAAGAGTTTTAGCAGCTATGAAGTTTGGGATAGATGACTTAGTCATGATCGTTTTTGATATTCAGTTATTACTAGAAGTTTCACCAGTTGTATCTCTTCTTATAAAATAAGGTTTCAAACTTACTCGTTTTCTACATAGGGTTATTCTGATTCAGTCAAGGGCATATTGCTGAAATTCGTTTCTTTTTTAAATTAAATTGACTACATTGATTGTTTTTATTGAACAATATATGCTGAACATGAATTTTTTTAAATTTTCTTTCAAGTTTAAATTAAAACAGAAAGAATTTAATCAAGAGAAAATGACTTCAATCAAAAGCTTCTGAAAATCAAAATGATCATAACAATTAAAAGCATCGTTTCTTTTTAGTTATTTTGATAGACTGCATTCTCTAAATGTGCAAATCGTCTTCTTTTGGTGAGAAAGTGCTATCTACAGACCTAAATGAAATGAAAATACTTAAAATCAAGGTAACAAACATCCAAACATAGGCTTTGTCAAAGCAGTGATATTTTATGTAATTGATTCTTTTTTATTTCAAAATTGATAAAAAAAATCAACTATTTCGCCTCTTGAGTTTAGGCCACTCGATTTCGTTCATACTTTTCTCCGAAGTTGGACAAAATATTTAAAGTGCACTCAATCAAGTGGCGAACGCGGTCACGCTACTCTAGCATCTTATATTTGAAATTTTTAGAAGTATGTTTTATTTAAAAAAGTTGTCATGCTTTTTTTTCTCTTTCCGAAAGTGAAGAAAATCGATGATGTCGTATTCCTGATCTATCTAAAAATATCTGATCATTTAAATGGATAAAGTACTACGGTATTCGGCATATTCTTCGTACCATATCCTCTTTTTTCATTCTACTATTAATATTTCATTAAGATTGCTACGCATACTATTGATGTTTACGTAATACAGAAATGATTCATTCATTCATTCTTTCTTTTTCTCTGATTTCTGCAACACATAAACTCGATCGTTTCGAACAAGTTACTAATTTTTATTGTTGTTTCTCTTGTTATTTTGAACGACTTTCAAACTCTTAGTAATATAATTCTAATGTGTTTTTTTTTCTTCAAAATTGAAGTTAAAGAAAAACTCACCTGCACTATTGATCGAAGCTATCAAATTTATAGGCGGACACCGTTCAGAAGAGGCACGATCTATCGGATAACACACAGGAACGTTGCATCGAGTATTATTGACACATACAGTATTGGGTGTCGAACATGTCTTCTTATCATTTCCACATGGAAGCAAATCTTTGCATAACATATTTATATCGGCACAGATTCCTCCTCCGGTCACTGTCATTAGCAAGCATTCACAGTTTAAGTTTGTTGAGCATGGCTTGGGTTTTGTTTGACAGTATGGCAATGGACAGCATCCGCAAGTAGGAGCCTGTGGATCGGCCGTGTTTTGACCTACAAAGAAGTTGAGAAAAACGCACAGATTAAGTTGCCAAATATTTTCGGCGATGAAGATTAAAAGAAGCCAGCATATTTGTAACTAGAATGACTTTCATGAGCTCATATGTGACTTCTATCTATGCGGCTGAATATAGTCAGTTACTCATACCTATGACAATGTTGACACCATATCTAAAAGTAAAAGTGTGTTGAATCATTGATTTGTCATGATAGAATTACTTACGGTGTTATCACAGCCTGAATCAGAAATAACTGCATCATCATGATTGAAGTAATGTACTTGAATTGAAATAGTTAGCAATAAAACAATTCGTGCGAAAAAAATATAGAAAATAAGCGCTGAAAAGCAAATATAAATGAATCAAATACAGTAGTGAGCATTATCGAAAACTCAATGCCGAAGCAACTTTGATCGAAGGAAAAATATATCAGTACTTTGATAGTCTAACCACACTCATTAAACTTATTGGTATAATTCAGATATACACAGTACTGTGTGAGGGACCAGCATTTATCTAAAGGGTAGAAAAATTTTCGAATATTGAACACTGCAAGTTGTTGATGTGATAAAATATTGGTTTTCTTTCCTCTTCTATTTTTCACGAAAGTTCCATTGATTAAGTAATACTGTTCTGCATTATGCCATTTTACCAATGAACACTAAAGAGCAGTAAAAAGATACAAAATACACAGAAAGTGTATATCCGAGTAGAACGGTTTTGGGAACCATTGTGGTTGAAAAGAATACACTCGTCGACATCTGCTCGAATAAATGTTATGATTTAGTGTATCTACATGAGACTCGTTTTTACCTCAGAAGAATTGAATATATTGAACTAAAATCTATTCATATATACTAAAAACTCAAGCAAGGTTGTGAGCATTGCCTTACCGTAAACTCGAATTCAAAATTGAAACCAAAAAAAAATCGAAACTAGCCTGAATCTTAAACCAAAAACTTTCGATCAGGTTTTGGTTTCTATGGATGCTCAGACACGACATATAACTGAGTCGTGAGTCTTTTACATAATATTTTGACTTTAAAAGTGAGAATGAACCGGTTTCATATAACTACTTGCCTCACTGTTTTTAAAACTAGTAGTTGTTGTCAAGTCTTATTTTTAATCAATGATGTGCTACTCACTACTCTAACTAAAATTAAAACACAATCGTCTTTACGATGTTTATATTATTATATACCAGATACTTTGCTTGTTCTCGTCGAGCCATAACAGCTCTTCCTTTTTATCACTAATGTCATTAACTGTCTTAAGTTGTCATGCGCGATAAACTAAGCGTGACGGTTCTTGTTATCAGCGAGTCTGAGTACATGATTAACAACTATGGCGAAGAAAAGCATGACTCAGAATTTTCATGTAATGCATGAAGTAGAAGATGAGTAAGAGAATGTAGGATTGATTGTAAATTATATGAGAAAACGAATTCGCCAATGTAAATAAAGCAAAAAAATAGATGAGAAAACAAATAAATTTTTAATAAATATATAAAATTTACTTTTTGAGTAATTTCTTCATTCGTGTTTGTTTTTTGTTATTTTAAATTTTGAAATTGTTTTTGAGATTTTTTTTAAATCTCTTTCTTGAAAAGTAAATCAAATAATCTGATTTCGAATAAACTAAGAAAATCAAACAATTTAAGCATCATTTTATAGATATTGTGAATATGAAAACTTATACTTGAGTTTCTTTGATAGATTTCAGTAAAAAACGAAAAATTATTGAATAAAATGAACGCGCTTGTTTTTTGAATTAGTTTTGAGAAATGATTCTGTTAATGGAGAGCAAAAGTGAGCTTATTTCACAGAGTTTTTATTTTAGCAAAATAGAAAATGGAGACTTCTTCAGATCACCGACACCCCTCCACTACTGGTCGTATGAATAACAGGAAAGGAAAAATAATATTCTCGTAAAGAGCCGATCTAATTAAGAAATTGATGAGTCTAAGAAAAATAAAAAACAATTTTTTTAATCACATTTCTCACTAATAATATTTACAATTACATTGACTTATTTTCCATTATCTGCTCTCGTTGAATTAAGTATTCGTGATTGGAATGAATTAACTTCAACAATTGAAGAGAACAATGTTTTATGCCAACGCACCGGTTTACTGCATATTCATCCCACTGAAGGTTGTGGGTGTGCGTGTGGATGTGGAGGCGGCTAAAGAGTGTGTGGGTATGAATGAAAGAAGATCTATATTCAAACACCCACACCCTTGGATCGTGATCATATACCTGAAATCAGCTGAAATGCAAAAATTGACTGTTCAATAGTGATTATTTTGCCTTAGATGCTACGATAAAGCCTTGTTTTAAATTCGAGCTGAGATTTAGCAGTTAGTGAATTATTTTTTCTATGTTTTCATATAAATATAGTTACATTTCTATTCCACTTTACGCCTGAAAATGGTAGATTTTGACAGTGTTTTGAAGAAAGTCACATTAAGAACTGCAACGATTTTCCTGAGAATTACATATGTTGTAGGGTCAGACTTGATGCAACTTTCGACTAAAGGGTTTTTTTCTCCTTTCATGCTTTCTATTCTTTTGAGGCCTCTCAAGTTGATCTATGTAATGCATGGATAGTGACTATTTATTTCTTGGATGAACCAACACAGTAAGGTACCATCAATTTATTAGTTAGTGTCTATTCGCGATTTGTAGAGTAATATTATGTGTATCATTAACCGATCTCAGTTTTCAGAATCAATTACAACACATCAAATTCGAAAGCCTCAATACTTCATCTAAAACCTCTATGTTGCCTATGAATACCACATAGGAGTATATGGCTTTCTAATTTTGTTCTCAAAATCAAAAGTGGAAAAAATTATATAGTTAGATGCAGTAGATAGTACTCTATCTTTCTGGTATACTTTCCATAGGTTACGAAGGAGTGGCAGATTAGCGGTCTTATCCGACGGAGTTTTTTACATTAACTATTATACTAATGATTTCGTCCGATTTAAAGAGCGATATCTCAAAGATCGTTTCAATCTGATATATGTACAAAATGTGATATTTGACTCTTGTAAGAGTCTCCTCAAAATCTTTTTCTCTGTCGACCATTTAACCTTGATGAAGCTTTCAAAGGAGGTGTATGTCGTGCTAGACAGCTTACAGTAAAAAATCCTAGCTCAATACGTTGAGTCTACGAAAACTTCATTCAAGATTATCAGTAAAAGTATAGGTGTTCGTGAGTCCAAGGTTTCTCCGTCATTTGAAATGATACTTTTGCCGGAAATAGAAAATAGTAAGACTATATTTGATGAAGTCATATTTGAATTCTCGTTCGATTTTCTACATTCGACAATAGAGACTATTCCACAAACTATGATCACATTATTTCCAACTTTGATTTAATGATTTCTCTTCAAAATATTATTTCATATTCAACAGAAATACTAATGTAACTTATCTAATTTCAGTCTCATTATTTTGCTTATAGATGAGCAAAAGGTTTACTTCCTAGATTTTATTTTTTATCAAAAGATGTATCATAAAATTCTCTACATAAACTTTCTTATCCTTTCATATTAGTCTTCGGATTAAAATCAATGAGCGCGACAAACTCTATCGACTACGTATAATTTGGCTTTTTTCTATATTTACAATCTGCGAACTCAAAAACTTCTTTGATCAATACATATTTTTCAGCAAATGTGACTTTTCGAGTATGTCAATACTCTTTCATGGAGTAATAAAAACTCAATCAAGTTTCAAAATAAATGTCTGAACAAGTTGTTCTTCAACAACGGAACGTCAAATTGTAACATTTATATTTATTAAATAAACTGAAATAATCGAAGAGGACATAAGTTATATGTAGAATCAGTTAACAACTTTCCTATAAAGACGCGAACGTTCATGTACTATAATGTTATCGATCTACTCTGATAAATTCGTCTTGTAAAGTTCAGGTGTTCTCATATGTAGGAGTTGTAATCCTTTGATAGGTTTGGATGACATATTTGCTTGCCTTATCTTGATCGAATTTATTGTACTTGCAATAAGAAGAGTATTCTCTATTTGCTTAGAGAGAAATAGAAAAATAAAAAGTTTATCGAAATACTAATACTCAGTAAAGACAAATGTATGATATTGCAACATGCTGCAGAAATAATCTTCGTTATACAAGTCTACCGATTTCGAAAAACAAATTATCTATTATTATTTTTTTTTCATGTCGATGGTTGAATACAGATCATGCCTGCACTTCTTTCTGTTTCTGATTACTGTTGTCGAATGCAAAAATTCTAATAGTGCGTATAGAATGACAAGCCGCACTGCCTGTAACACATAGACCAAAGAGATTCTTCTGCAGGATATATCAAATAACTCCACTCTATATAACTCTCTGGTACAAAGTCTACTTTCATATTTCTGCGACTAAGACGCTGAGGTTTACAAGCAGTCATCATCTACTTGGATCTATCTGTTTGAAACACGGTTGTCAGACTACTACTGATCAAGTGCTTCGAAATTTTTCAGCAGTTCAATTACTGAAATGCAGCAAAAGATTTTTTTTTATCTCACAAACAACATGTGATTGTCTATTTTTCTATTAAATATGTCTCATAAATATTTCGATGTAGTTAATTAATCGTTCGCTTGCACGGTGTGTTTGAAGCCTTTCCAGTGGTGTGAAAATAGCGTCACAATGGATCAGCGACGTGCTAGTATCATCATTTAAATATAACGGCGTATTTGCTATCTCCTGTATACGAATGCGTGAAGACATTCTCGTAGAAGAGAGTTTGATCACTGATGACAACCCCAGTATTGAAGACGTCATGGTGTCTGTACGAGCACATAGTATTCATTTAACAACATTGGGACGAATGTCTGTTACTAGCACCGGAGAAAAGTCTTTCGCGCCCCGTCTTTCTTTTATACTGCAATATTTTTTTCATCAAATTTGGTTTTGATTACAAGGTTGATATGAGGTCTTTTTTTTTTAATATAATGTGTAATTCATATGTGATTTATCACCTGGTCTATGCGTATTTTATGCTATCAGCTAATTTGACATCCAAATCAATCAACAAATCGTTCCATGTTTTTTTAATTTATTATTGCAGCCCATGAACTCTTCAATTTTTTCACTTATTGCAACTCTGGACAAAGGTCTGTTACCTTGCCACATTTTGTCTTTCAACTTCGTTCATTTGAAGTAGCTCTGATAAAAATCTTGATTGATTTGAAAATTCTTTTTGATTCTTGGGTGTGGGTGTGGAGATTACCGAAGAGAAGGTTCACACCTCAACACGTACACCCCACCGAAAATAGGAAAGTTAAATATTGAAAAATGCCGGCAAGTATCTCCAGAAAAATATTAATCAATGATAAACTTGTTCAAGAAAAATTTATTGAAGAAAAGACTGGTATTCTTCTAAAAAATAATTTAGACATTTTAAAATTTTGTAATTATGAATTATATAAAGAACGAATTATTTTCAAAATTAATGTTCGATGTTTATATCAAATTGTCATCGAGAAATTCTCTATAAACTTGAATCTTTATTAATCGTCAAACCGGTTTATTTCAATTATAAAACAATCAATGTTTCTATGATAAATTAATTTGTCGAGATTATTCAGTATTTAATTAGAACAATTATTAAAAGAAAACACTAATACAAATGAAAGTATCTACAAAAGTATGGCATAATCATTACAAGAAACAATTGGAAAATTAAATTATTTATCCGAACATCATTCATATTTAAATAAACTTGAAGAAAATATCCATGATAAATTGATCATATAGAAAAAGAAAAAATGGTCTTGGCAAATGTGTCATAGTACAGCGACCATCTTTATATTTGGAATAGCACAAATAATCGGAGGTGTTTATCTTGAATTGTATAGTTTATGTATTGGTACACATGAAGGACTTAATGATATATTATATCTAATATCTGTTGCTAAAAGTGTTCTTGTAACAATTGCAACAACGAGTTATGCTGCATTATTCATTAAAAGGAATTCGATATTCTCGTTTTGGTTCAAAATTAGTCGGTAATATAGAAATATTATTTCGATTATCTGGTACAAAATTCTTAGAAGCCGCAGGTAAAAGAGGTTTGGATGATGTCAAAAATAATGTTATAAAGAAAGTATGGTGTCGAATTGAAATGAAATTAACTGAAGGTCTTGAATTAACACAAAAATGGTTAAAAGAAATCAATCGAACAAGCAATGTCAATAGTTCAAACTTTTTTAGTTTTAATAGCTAAAACGAAAAATCCAAATTTAGCTGCTTGTATTATTGAAAAAGATGGTACAACTTTTCCTGATTTGATTTTCTCACAAAATGTTAATCTGATTGATATTTAAGATGATAATTGTCTTTCGATTAATTTTATTCCTGGTGAGCGAGTCAATACATTTAGCTATTTTGTTTCATTGAGTAACGTGATTGAAGATTCAACGAATATTTCCGATAATTATTGCTTAATTAATTCACTTATGGGCGGTAATATAAGTATGAAATCAGGAGAAATGCACAAATAGTTAGTAAATATTATTCAAAACGTCTACCATCGGTATTATATCTTTCAGATTGGTTTCGGTGGTTAACAAGATAATAGTGTTAAGAAATTGAAACGTCTATTACTGAATGAAGCATTTGTTAATGAAAGTCCGATAGGTATCGTTGGTGTTCATGAAAACGGACAATTCTTTGGAGTTAACTATCTATCAAAACAAGGTAAAAGAGAATCAGAACATCTCTCTCCAAAAAATTACTCTATGAATTATATCAAGTGATATATTCCCGATAGGCCATTACCGCTAATGTGCTTGATATTCAAGGAAATCAAATTGAATAAGATCGAATGCTTAATTTTTTAATGGAATCAGAATTACTATAAACTAAAATGAATAAATAAATGACACTGAACGAATATCTGTTTACAATTTTGGTACATTATTCAGTTCATTATGATAAAGATAATAATTGAACCCGTTTTACACAAAATATTCTAAGAAATGAGAACAAGCTAGTCAATATTTTACGGCTTATCGAAGTCATTAATCAGTCAATATAGTTCTCTATTAGATGATAAAAATAACAAACATCCTAAACTGAAAACAGAATTTTCCTTGATCGCATAATTCTATGAATCATGTGAATACATTAATTCAATACAACAAAATCATCCGATGGAAAAAATCAATTTACCAAAACTTTACACCACTGATCAGACTCTTCAACTACTCAAAAGCGATTAAAGTTAACTGTTATTATGTAATTTAACATTTATTTGTTTGATTTAGAATAAGCTATTCTTTTGTTTCTGGCGTGAGTATGGATTATGAACATTCACATGTTCACACTCGAATCATTACTCACGAACTTTCAAAAGAGTTTAAATTTAAAATAAACAAAACAGAAAATGAAAACTTTATTTTCGACGAAAATCTGTTACATAGAAAATTTTTGCACGTATACAAACTTTAAAATAAAAAAAAAAGCATACAATGTCATTGAAAGTTTGAGAAAATTATATTCTTTTCATTTTTTACAGTTTATTTCTGTTAGCCTGGTTGTAGATAACAGGTGACCCATAATAAATAGTCTACATTTGTTTTCTTTGTTTTTTGAGGCATTGAAAATCGTTTTAAAATCCGATTCTCAACTCCTTCGATAGATAATTCATCGCTTAACAACAACTGCGAAATCCTTTTTTCTACTGACATCCTTTGCAAGATAGGTGACATTTTCGACAGCTAGAATCGATGTATGAAATGGTCTAAATGCGCTACCTGAAATAGACTATTTCGAGTGCGTGAATGTCATCGATTCTACATATGGACCGATATCTAGTCATGCACACATCCTGTTCAAATACATTGAAAGCGATGACTTTATGCACGTTTTGAAAAGATTTTTTTCCTATTTTTTTTGAAAGAGGAATTCACAGTTAATTAGTCATTTTATTTATTCCTATATATACGAATGTACCTATCAATTAATGATTTAACTTGAGAGAAACAAAAATATTAATTCAATAGTATGATTAACATGAAATGAATAATGTATAAACGAAGTATGTGACTAAAATTATTCTCAAAGATTTCGATTTCGTTGTTGTGTTGCAAGTGTAGAAGAATAAGCATATTTATTTGTTTATTTATAATATTATCAACGTAGCGTAGCAATTAACATAAAGAAGTAATCACGCGATCACGAATAACAAAAAAACATCGAACGAAAAAAATATTTTCTTTTTAATATTCTATGTCAATAGAGAGAATTTATTAAAATCATGCTTATATTCGTTAATAGAGTTCTTTCATTAATGAATTTTATAATGGTTAGTAAACAGGTTTGTGATTGATCGAAATGTAAGGTTTCTGATTTATAGCGACAAAACATTTTCCACATGATTATTTATTGATCTACATTTTACAATATAAATGAAACTGATCGATTAAAATTCTTTCAATATTTTGAGATTGTTTTCAATTATTTTTATTTATATCTAGATTAAATAGATATACATTTTTTTCTTAAAGCAAACGCATAGTTTTAATGATGATAATGATGATATATATTTACAATAAATAGGATTACACAAAACAATTCATCTTAAATTTTATACGGATACATAAAAGAGACTTAAATCTGACATTGTACAAAAGTTAATTTCGACTTTCTTTATTGTCCAATTGTATAATGTTGTTGAATTGTTTGTGGAGTCTAAAAAATGAAATATTTCATTAATAATAATTAGAGAATTTTAACTTACAGCCATAGTAACAATATTTGATGATAAATTTTGAGGTAATTGAATAATTTGACCATCTCAAAGAAGAAGAAAAAAAAAGGTAAAATTCTAAAAACTGAACTTACGAAGAAGTCTTTAAAAGTTCGTCTCTATGGAATTTTAACGCCGAACTACGACCGTTTCACTGAATTTTCGATTTAAAAATTTACTCAGTAAATATCTAATACTGAATCGATAATTCAATTAAACGATCATAACTTGACTCTGAAGTCTCATCAATACGCCTCATATATGAACCCAAATGATGGGTATCACTTTGAATAGTTTCCTCGTGAGATCAAAATAACATACTCGGCAATTGTATGGTATTTCCCATAGCACTCGATGTTGGTAAAGTAACAATATATTGCACTTCACTAACGGTTTCTTTTTTCTTATGTGTTTTAGTTGCTTCTTCACGTGGTACAATGTCAATAAGAAAATCAAAAAGTTCATTTTTAGCAATAGCAGCTGCTACATCATTACGCTAGACAATAGAAAATTTCATAAAAAAAAAGAAAACTTAAAATAAAATTAATAATAAACAGAAAAAAAAAAACCTGTAATGTACGTCGTCGACTTTCTTCTGTTTGTAACCATGAATGAATTGTTAATTCTTGTATAAATAATTCTGCTGCTTTAGCAAATAGAATTGGTACTTCAGCACTAATCATTTTAACATCATCATCTAATTTCATAATTTTTTTAATACGAGCTAAAGGTAAATCACTCGTACGAAATTCAACCTAAATAAGAAAAACAAAAACAAATAATTTTATTATTGTAAATTGACAAAAAAAAAATTCTTCTGTGTTACAATATTAATATCATCAATTTCATGTTTAACTTCTGTCCAATATTTATCGAGTAATTCTTTTCCAGCTGATGGTTCTATATTTTCAGCTTCAGCTTTCGTAGAATCCATTGTACGATTTTTGCCAAGATTTATTTTTATCTTGAATTAAAAGTAAAAAAAACTAATGAGTATATATAGAAGATATTAGCAAAATAAAACAATTTTCACATGATTGACTATACTCTTTATTCTTTCTTTCTCTTTACTGTTAATGGACATCGGCGTAGAGGAATAGCGAAATACAAGAACTATAGTGACATCTATGTTACAAAGAAATATGAATATAAATTTTCATTTAAATTAATTGAAAATTAATATGAATTTTTTTTTAAATTATTTCATATTTTAAGTTTATTATTGGTTTAAATAATGACACATACAGATTGAGTTTGTTCAATTCAAGAAGAAAAATTATATACTTTAAAGAGTTCGTTTTTTCCTACTATTATTCATTACCTGGGTATTCTATATGCAGATGTTCTATTGTAAATGCAGAACATTTTTATCAATATTTTTATAAGAAATAAGTGCTTTTTCTGGTTTCATCGCATACACTCACCCATACCTTCTTCCTTTGAGAAAATATCAATTACAAAACTCTTCTACATTCATGCTGTAATAACTGCTAAAGGAATACTTAAACAGGCATACACCAAAACTAAAACTCTTCGTTGTATTTATATGATTTTGTTAATTTCTCTTAGGCATGCAATAATAACTGTTATGTTGACTAAGCGAGTATAATCAAAAAGATATTTGCATATACGAATATTATTCTTAGATCATAAAATTAAATTTTAAATAGAAATTAATATTTTAACATAGATTTATAAGAAAAATCTGTTTACTCCGGATATGCAATTATTACTTATTACTCAGTTGTATATAATGCATAGCATGACAAATTAGCTTTTCTGTTCCTTGGAATGTCAGACGTGAAGAAAAACAAACTCTTTTTTTTTACTTTTTGTAATGCTTTGAAAAGGCGTAAATTCTCGTTATAAACTATTAAGATATTTTCTAGAAACATACCTTTCATCTATTCAAGAGATCAGACATAAAAGAAAAATGAGAATAAGATCATAACAGTAATTTTATACAAAGTCTATTTTAGTATTAAACCATGGAATTTCAACGACAAGTATTAATCTATTATTTAAGTGATTCGTTTCTCATGTACGATATTATTATTATTTTTCTATGTCGTTCTAATTTTCTTTTTCTAGTTGAAAAAAAAAACGAATATTGAAACTCATGATGATATAATCACAATTATTTGCCTTGACTAATGGCAAATTCAATGAATCGAAGACGATTTCATCCGTAAGTTATTTTTGTTAATCGTTTTTTTTTTTTGTGGTATATTTTCTATCTTTGATATTTAGTAATCATCGTCGAACAAAACCAATACTTCCAATAAATGATACAGAAAATCCTGTATCAATATCCCAAGAAATATTTGATGAATGTGAAAAATTAAAACAAAAAATTCTTTCATTAACAAATGGTAAATCAGATATATGGATTTATCGACAAGAATTACTTGATCAATATGAGCAATTAATTTTATTTGATCTTGATTATGCAATTGAAAAAAAAATTGAACATGATCTATGGACAATTGTTTTTAAAAATGAAATTAGCTATAAACAAGAACAATTAAAAGAAAATAATCAACATCAAGTTAAACGTGCAGAAATTCAAACAAGTTTACAAAATTTCTATGAATATGCTAGAGGTTATTATATGAAATTATTACAAGTATGTTTTTTTTTGAAAAACCTTTTGGTTTTTATACTTACACTACTGACCATAAGTCCCTGGATGTGCGATACTCCCTCATAACTTCAATAATTTTCCACGAAATTTTTACCAGAGATAGAGCTTAAAAAATTGTGATCGCAAGCATCAACCCGAGCTCTATCGACTGATATAGTATGGAGTTATGATTCAAACATTAGTTTCATCTCTGTTTACTTATTAATCAATATTCACAGTTTTTTATGAAAAACATTCGAGATACTAGAGGTCTTGTTTAATCTTTAGGTTGTTTCGTAAGTTGTTACAGGAATATGCAGTGGACATTTATTGCTCAATAAAGGTATCTCTGGAGAATAGTAGACTAATATTAACGAGCTAAGAAACAACTTAGAGATTAAACAAGTCTTCTAGCATCGCGATGGTTTTTCCATAAAAACTGTGAATATTGATTTACAAGTAAACGGACGTGAAACTAATGTTTGAATCATAACTCCATACAATATCAGTCAATAGAGCTCGAGTTGGTGCTTACGATCACAGTTTTTTTAAGCTCTATCTCTGGTAAAAATTTCGTGGAAAATTATTGAAGTTATGAGGAAGTATCACACATCCAGGGACTTATGGCCAGTAGTGTATTTCATATTGTTCTCACAAAAGAAGGTCTCTAAGTGATAAATCAAATTATTAGTAGATTTTTTTCTACACAGTTCCATTTTATAGAAGTACTTTACTATGGATATGGTTAAAGTCTTAGGTGTACTCAAACCTTTCTTTCCGAGATCAGTCAAGAGTCAAATCGATCTCGACGAACAGAGTAAAAGTTTTCCTAGGCTAAAAATGACTTGAAGTTGCCTCCACAGTACTTTAAATTTCATCTGTTTTCGTTGAAATCTTTTGTGTAACAACCAAAATCAAAATGAAGGGTAGATCCACACCCATGAATGTCCTACTGAGCTATGAATACGTTTAAAAGACTTCATATCCTTAGAAAATAATTTTCGAATTTCAATTCCTGAATACATAATAAATCTAAAAGAATAGAAAAATAAAAATTTTTTTTTGTTTTTCTAGAATGTTGTTCATTCATATAATTTCGAAAATTCTATATGTAAATTAACTTTTTCATTATCACAAAAACGTAATCAACATTCAAATCATAATCGTTCATGTAAAGAAGCTTCAATGCTTTATTTTATTCAACATATTCTTGTACATGTTGGTGATTTAAATCGTTATTCAAATCAAATTGATTTAGCTAAAACATTTTATCAATATGCTATACAAACAATACCATGTTTAGGTCAACCATATAATCAAATAGCTATATTACATGAAATGAAAAATCCTTTATCATTATTAACACCAGGACAAAATCAATTAATAACAACATATTATTATATTCGAAGTATAGCAATAAAAGTAACATTTCCATTAGCAATATCAAATTTAGAAAAATTATTTATACGTTTAAAAGATATACCAATAACACGTTATGAACAACAACCACAAAATGATTTTTTAACATTATTTTTACAAATAATAGCTATGATTAATTTAGAAACAAATCTTAATGATATTCATATATTTATTAATTTATTTCGAATGATAATTATTAAAAATTTTAATCAAGTAAATTTTATACAAATGATAACAATTATTATGTTTACATTACATCGTACATTAGATTTATTACCACGTTCATCATCATCAAAAAAACCTGAATTACAATATGATATTATATTAGATTTATTTATTATTATTATTGAACAATGTCTTGAAGCAATACAAGTACCATTATCAATGATGATTATTGATGAACAACATATTTTACCAATACTTTATCTTTCATTTGCTTATTTATCTAATATACAAAAACATAAAAATGATTTATTTGAACATAATGTTTTCAAACAAAAACAAATTATGTGGAATTCATTAGCAAAATTATTACGATCATTTGGAGTTTATGCATCAAATCTTAATATTACTAAAGGTATTCTCGTAACTAACTTATGAGAAAATCATCCGAATTTATACTTGTTGTCAGAGTTTTCGTTTGTTTTCGACCAAGGGAGGGGGGGGGGATTTTTTTTCCCAGAGAGAAAATCCGCTGGAGAAAAACGATAAATTTTTCCAGGGAGACTTTCTCCCAAAATTTTAGGAGGGGNAGAGAAAAATCCGGGAGAGAAAAACAAAGAATGTTTCCGAGGGGGTTTCCTCCCAACATTTTAGGGGGGGGGACGTCCCCCCCCCCCCCCCCCCCCCCCCCCCCCCCAATCGTATGGCCTGCTTGTTGTACAAGCTTATATTAAGAATGTAAAGACACTTTCGAACCGAAGAAGGATCATTTTATTGAGTTGTCGACTTGAAGAGTCTTTTTACAGATTCAATATCTCGACAAAAGAATAGGCATTCGACCTATCTATGGACAAAAAATGGTAAAAAAAAAACTATAGATACACATTTCTTCAGAATACTATACCGACTTGAATCATACAGTTTACGACTATTCTTCTATCCAAATTTTTGGTTTGATTTTATGCAAGACAAAAAATACGGATAATATATATTCGTTAGTTAAGCCCCCTCCCGCCCCCCCCCCCGCCCCCAACCACACACACCCAAACAACACAAACGAGAGA